ATGCTACTTTTAAATTGTTAGTCAAGCATATTATAATTTTTATTATATAAATTTGATTTAAATAAAGATGATTTTCTTATTAATGTAAAAAATGTAAAAACTCTTTTTTTCCTTTAAAAAAAGTTTTATTTATTTTTAGAGAGAGAGGAAGGGAGGGAGAAATAGAGGGAAACAAACATCAATGTGTGGTTGCCTCTAGCATGCCCTGTACTGGGGACCCCACCTGCAACCCAGGGATGTGCTCTGACTGGGAAACAGACCAGTGACCCTTTGGTTCACAGGCCCACACTTAATCCACTGAGCTACACCAGCCAGGGCTAAAAATCCTTAATATAAAATATCTTTAAATAGTCTATTGAGCTATATAAGATACTATTTAATAACTTACTAATATAAAATGAAAATAACTTCATTACTTTTTATTAAATGACACACAAAAATTATTTAAGAAATATCTTTAAGGGTATTCAAGAGATTAAATCATCCAAGGCAAGGGATTCAAAGCTCAGAAAAGGAGGGTAATCTTACTTTAGGGAATAGACCTCCTGTGGACCCCCCTTTTTGTGTGTGTTATTATTGTTCTCTTTCCTCCTGCTGGTGTGATGCATATATGACCATATCCAACCAGGGAACGCCTTTACCCTGAGAAGGCCTGTTGGACACAGGGTACACAGAGTAAATTCTTAGTTGGAGCAGGTTCTCCACTAACTTCTTGAAAAAAGCACTCTCATTTTTCTGCTTCCTCTTTGAGTCAGGGTGCTCACATCCAGAAGTTGGAGACCTGACTCTGGGCCCAGGGAATAGTGGTTTAGAAGCCCACACCTATCTGACAATAGACCCCTTAGTAAAAAACAGAAGGAAACCTCTCAGTTCATATATGGCCACACACCTAGTTTACCAGGATGGGAGGCCAGATTGGGACGTGGGACCAAAATCCAGCAAGGTGGGTCGATCTATAATATTTTCCACTTTTGAATCTAGTTCACCATTAGGTGGGTCATGGGTTTCAGGGTTCAAGATTTGGGATTCTAAGCCTTCTTCCTTCTTTTCTCAACAAAAATGACCAACGAATCTGTTTATTAGAGACCTCTGGGAGTAGATTAACTATAGTCTTTCTTCAATCCCCCATGAAATTCTTTAATGGCTCTCTACTGCTTATTCAAATACTGTTTGTATTCCTTAGTTGAGCATTAGAAGTGCATCATGATAAGGTCTTGGTCCCTTTTCCCAATATAGACCTCATTAATTCCTTCTTCCTCCTAATGTGCCCTGTGCTTAGGTTACTACTCTGCTCTTCTTGAGATTTTTTTTTTTTTGCAACTTCTTACCTCTCTTGGTCTTAGGCATAATGTCTTCCAAGTTCTCTTTCCTCCATGGAAGTAAGTATTTTGCTCCTGGTTAAATTCTGCTGAGGCTGATACCTGTTTCATAGTGTCCATGCCTGCCTCTGGGTCGCTTTGATAATCATCTTTGTAATCCCTGTAGCTAAGACAGTCAATGTTGTACTTTTAAAGAAATAAGGTTTCTTCAGGTGTATTATTTCATTTAATACCCACAGCAATTCTCTGAAGGTGGTATTTGGCTTGTACTGAAAGCAAAGTAACTAGAATAACTGTCAAGACATGCTGGACACTAGAATTAAACATCATTGCTGAACTAATAGGAAACCATGACATCAAGCCAAAGCAAACTCTAGGTAACAGAACAGACTTTGTTAAATAGTTATTGCTATAAACTAAGGAGAAGTCATTCTTAGAAATTGAAGTAGAAAATTTTGGTGGCTTACTAACATTTGGGGACATGTGTACAAGATGAAGGTGCCTTGGCTAGTGATATGTTCTGAAATTTGTGGAGACACCTGGCCATATTCTGAAGAGCATTGCTGTTGGAAACCACTCTGCCTGGTTTCAGGAGTTGTAACCACCCCCTATGGATAAGGCTGAGTGAGCAACTTCTGGACTGTGAGCCACTAAGGAGACAAAGCTTATCTCCCTGGCGGGAGTGCTGCTTCTGCTTCATCCATCTCTGGCCCCCAATGCTTGGTCCGATAGTCAGTGATGGCTAAGACCCCTCAGAGGGGGGCAACCTAAGCCAGACACAATCACTTGGGAGGCCCTCAAGGAAGGACTCGGGGGGCTGCAGCAAAGAGGGGGTGATGGACTCTTGCCCCCTGGCTATTGTGACATAGCCTGAGTCTCCATTTCCATCTGGGAGAAGCACTTCCTGGCTCTAATCCACTTAAGCCTAAAAACCTATGACTGGGAGGGCAGTGCAGCCCTCTGCCAGCTAGAGTGGGTTCTGGGGTGAATGGGCATAAGAAAAAATTCGTAAAGTCCTGTGAAGCCTGCTTTGCTAAGAGTGCTTTCATTCATGTGATAAGGGTCAGAGCAGGAAATGAGTATGTCTCCCTAAGTTTTTGCAACCCCCTTACCTGACAGACACTGACTCAGATTAAGCCCTCAGATTTCTTTGAAATGTTATCTATTGTTTGATCCTTACCACCTGATATTGATTGATGAGCTTTACCTGTATTCCTGTGTATTATGAACCTAATAAAAGCCATTGAGGAAGGGGTTCTTGGTCCTTCTCCTTTGAGAGATTGACCACCTGTCCTCCCCAAGCAGATCATGTCTTGGCAGTTTTATTTTCATCCATGGCAGATGGGGGACGTGCGGGCAAAGTTTCCCCCACACATTGCCTGGACTACAAATGGCAATGGATGTCGCACAGTTATGAAGGATTGGTTATGGCCATTTGTAATAGTTGGGGTCATTAGGCTGACACCTAAGGCTGACTGATGCTAATTACACTAGGTAGAAGGGGTCTTACCTTTTTCTGTTGAACTTACTTGTAGATTGAGCATACTAGGCTATATACTCCATGTGACACATATCTTGTTCTATAGTTAGGTTTTCCTTGGACTTTCTTTGTTGCTTATTCTCTGAGAACATTGAAATTGGTCCTGAAAATTGGGAGTTCCCAATAAAGAAATTGGGTACAGTGTATGTTCTTTGTAGAAAAAAGAATTTAACAATACAATTGTAAAATAAAACATTCTGTTGTGGCAGATTTAAGATGGTCACGGAAGTCTTAGGCATTTTTCCTATTAAGACATTGCTCACTGTTTCCTTGTCCTGAAACTGGGTGAGCTCTGTGACTGCTTTGACCAATGGAACATCATGGAAGTGATGTTCCTCTGCTTGTTTCTGGGTCTAGGCTGTAAGAGACCAGAAGTGTCTACTGCCCGTCTCTTGGGACAATCACTCTTGGACTCTTGATGAACTATGTAAGAAATATGACTACCCTGAGACTGTCTTGCTGTGAGGAAGCACAAGGTAGCTACAGGGAGAGGCAGTAGGGAGAGACACCAGTGCTGGCCAGTCCCCATTGCTGTTCCAGCAATCCCATCCCAAGCTCCAAGTAAGTATGTGAGTAAGGAATCCAGGCCAAGGCAACCTCTAGCTGAATATCACCAAATCACAAGTCGTCTTTATGTGAGGCAGAAGAATTGCCCAACTTGAGTCCTGCTCTAATTTCTGACCCAGAAAATAATGAAAAATAATAAAATGATAATTAAATTTTAGGGATGGTTTGTTATATAGCAGTTGACAACTGTTACTTTAATCTTAAAAGCTTATATAAGGATGATGTAAACTTCTTCAGAAATGCTTATTTATAATCATATATAGTTAATTTATGGCAAAATCTAGAACTTTCTAACTTGACTGACTTAGACAAATTTATTCTTCTGTTGAGTATTTTTAACTATTCAAGAAAATGTATCTGTATACTTAACTCAAGAATAAATGTTGAATGTTTTTAAAGACAATTTTTAGAACAGTTTTAGGGTCACGGCAAAATAAGAAAGTACAGAGATTTCCCACATATCTCCTAGCCTCACATATGCAGAGCCTCCCCTGGTATCAACACCCTAGTTAGGCAGTAGGTTCGTTAAAATTTGTGATCCTACATTGACACACCATAACCACCTGAAACCCATAGTTTACATTAGGGTTTTCTCTTGGTGCTGAACATTCTATGGCTTTAGACAATTGTCGGATGGCATGTGTCCACCATTATACTATCATATAGAATGTTTTCATTGCCCTAAAAATCCTCTTTGGTTTGTCTCTTTATCCTAACCCTGGCAATAACTGATCTCTTATTGTGCCTTTTCCAGAATGTGATATTGTTGGAATCATACAGTACGGAGACTTTTAAGGCTGGCTTTTTTCACTTAGCAATATGCATTTAGTTTTCCTCCATATCTTTTCTTGGCTTTGATAGCTTCCTTCTTTTTGGTGCTGAATAATATCCCATTATCTGGATGTACCACAGTTTATTTATAGATTTACCTACTGAATGACACCTCAGTCACTTCTAAGTTTAGGCAGTTATGATTAAAGCTGCTATGGACACTGGCACGGCAGGGTTTTTTTTGTGAACATACGATTCCAAATCCTCAGGCTAAGTACCAAAAAGTGCGATTGCTCAATCAATCATATGGGAAGTGTGTATTCGGTTGTGTAAGAGACCACTGACATGTCTTTTCACACGGCCGTCCTGTTCTGCATTCTCACCAGCAGTGAGTGAGAGCTCCTGCTGCTCCGCACCCTCACCTGCCTCTGCTGTTCACAGTCGGAGTTTGGCCATCATCACGGGCAGTGTCTCGCTGTTTGAATCTGCGACCCCCTGATAACATATGATGTGGAGTCTAGTGGGTTTCTAAAAAATTTAAATGTATTTTTTGCTTTCTTTTAAAAATAAACAAAATGGATTTCAAATACATTGTATTTTTCAGCAAAACTAAATGTAACAGTTTTACAAATATAGATCTCTTCATTCTGTAACTGGGTTGAATAAAATGATATACTATGTAATATGGGATAAAGAAGAAAATGTGAATCATACAAAATGTTGCCCATTTTACTGGTAGAGCTTTGGCCTCGAAGGGGGGGTCTTATTATATGATTATTTCATAAAAGTAAAATATCCACATGTGTAGAGGGAATAATTTACCTTACATTGGCCCCTGGCAGGCACTGGCCTGGAGGGGTGCCACAGAAATACTGCACAGGACTCCGGGGCCCTGGTCCAGTCTGCTGGGTCTCAGGGTTAATTTTGGTTACAGACACCGAGGAAAAAAATATCGACTGGTATCTTACATTTCTATTGGTGGTATAGATTAAGATTTAATTTATTATATAGCCAAGACCTTATAAAATATAGAATAACATTTTCATGTGGAACTAGAACTTCTCTCTATTCTCTGCATTTGAAAAATTATTCCTATGCATATAGAAGCTAATGAGGAAGAATTGTATTTATAATAAGTACTTTCTCTTTTTTTTCCTGGTGTCTTATATTGATAGGAAAGAGCCCCACAAATGAGTGCTGCTCACTATCATCGTGCAAGTGTGATTCCACAGCACACTTCTGTCTTAATCACTGAAATTATTTGGTTATCAAATCCATATACAGTTAATGATTTGACTTTCATTCTTTACAGACTTATTCATATTGGTCTGGCCTTGAAAACATGAAAATGGTCTTTATTTGATATTCAACATGTAACTTCAGAAAGATGTGCTTATTTTAAAAATCGAGACTGTGAGTGTGATGGAGGAGCCTTAACAAGGACTGGGAAGAGAACCGTAGTTCCCAGGTGTCTGTAGGGTAGGCTGGGTGAAGGTAGAAAGGCTGAGGGCGTATTTATGTATGTTTACAGTCAACTCTCTTTCCTACTGAGGACAAAAACTTTCTTTAAAGCAGCATCTATTTCTAGAAAACAAAATTATTGTAACACTGATGTTTTAGAAAATAATTCCTTGCAATCAGCTGTTCCTAATAAAGAGGCAACAGGCCATATGTTCTGTGACAAACCAGCCTTGTTTCAGCAATGGGGGTCACCAGAGGTGGTTTGGAAGTACCAGAATAGGAAGGGGTTAGATACCACCTGCCCTCTGTTAACTTACTCCTTCTGTGTGCAGGAATTTTTTCTATGTCAGGATCACATAATAATAACACAACTGTAAGGTTTTCAAAATAGAGATTAAGTTATTTGATAAATGGGTCCAGGATTTTATGCTGCATTCTGTGATCACCAATGAATGTGGGTTTTTTTTTTTTGTACCATCTCTGTAGATGGTTTTTCCTGCAGAAAGAATTACTGTATTTATTTGATTTCTTCTCCTGCACCAGGTGTTGCAAGTCACCGAGGTGGGGCTGGTACAGGGGTTTGGACAATAAGAGGGTGGGTGCTCCTGGGTGGGGCTCTGGGAGATCCTAACTGTCCTGGCAGAGTGTCCCTGAGAGAGCAGAGAGCATCGGTCTTAGGAGAGAGGGGTAGTTTTCTGGTTTTTCTTTTCTTTTTATTATTTTTTTTAAAACAAGGATCCACTGTACACATGGTCCATGTTCACTCTGTGAGAAACATCATTCCAGGGGTTATCACACTGTTTATCTTCACCACGGAGTGGACTTTAAACAAAGGGAGAACACAAGATTTCTCTGGCCTGGATGAATGACAAATTTAATTCCACTTCACAGTATAAAATGAGCATTCTTTTTTCATCCTGGCAAGACACTGAAGACAAAACAAATCATTTATTACTGATAAAATTAAATATCATTTAAACTTGATCTTTATCAAGATTGCTATATCAATATTCATGTTCGGAATTCTGATTTCACGCGTGAAATACTTTTTCTCATTATACATCCTTAAAAATGCCTGCTCAAAACTTTGATTTCTGATAAAGCTCTGCTAAGCTCATGTCTCTGAGAAATCCCTAGAAATGTCAGTCGTCTTTGCTTGCCATACCTCTGAAATATTGGTGAAACTCCCTGTCTCCTAATCATACTGTTCTCCCTCCCGCTTCTATTTTTACTGCTCCCCTTGGTGCACGACCCCCTCCCCACCCAGCCCCAGCCTGGTGCCCACATGACAAGGCAGCTGTTGTTATGCGGTTGGTCTGCCACCACCCCAGCCTCCTGCTCTCAGGAATCTGCTCAAGGAGCGAGTGACGCTGAAGAATTTCTCAGGTCATCTTCGCTGACCTAGAAAACCAAAGAGGTTCTAGCTTTTGCCGGTGGCATGCAGCAGTACAGAGCTCTGCTTAGCACAGCGAAAGCATTCGGCAGCCCTAGACGCTGCGAGGACGGCCACTCCACAGTCAGAAGGAGGTAGGAAGAGCAATCTGTGTTCTCAAACTTTATATAAAAACCCACGTGCCATTTTTTCCTTTTTGCTCTGTGGTGGCACAGCTGAAATGCTGTGATTCTGTTTTGGAAAATACACGACTCACTCAAAATTATTTTCCAAAAGGTGGGATTCAGCAAATGGCACACAAACTGCCAAAAAGACCTCAGCGAGCAGAAAGTGCACTCTCTTCTTACTTCTTGCTTGCAGTTCCCCACTCGGATAAAAAAAAAAAAAATCAAGGAGGAAGCAGGCAGGAGGATAATGCCTCTGCCTGGCAGCTGAGCTGTAATCTAGCTATCCTTCCTTCCTGAGCATGCACTTGCTGGAGATGTTTTAATGTCTTAATGAAAGGACAGGGAAATTATCACTCACCGATTTGTGTTTTTAAATTTGGAGTTTCTAAATTAAGACTAGTTAACGACACAGGCATGCCCATTTCCAAGACTGGATAGGCAGCTCCCGCGTTTGATGTGTCACCTTGAGGGTTTCCTGTGAGGTAATTAGCATGCTGGGATGAGCTAATCTCCCATAGAACAGCACACCTGCCTCATTCTGCTAACAAATAGGCCCCTGCCTCCTACAGACTGCCTGACCTGACTTATTATATCTCCCCCATCAGCAGAAAGACTCATATCATCACTGGGCCAAAGGTGAATTGCCTAGAGACAAAGTTGGAATGAATTTTTTGCAGTCCCATTTCGCCAGACATTCAAACCACTTCATTCTGAAGAGTGGAGACCTTTAACTCTGTCACATATTTATGTATGCTTATAAGGCCAGGGAAGGGTCTTTTCTGCAGATTTGCTCCAGCCGAATGTATCAAATAGGGTTCCAGAAGAAACTGTTTCTGCCTTCCAAACCTTTGTTCTCCAATTATTACTCTGAGAGAAGACAAATCGTGCTGTGGGTGTTTTAGTTTACTTGCATCTTGGAAGTTGCTCACTACGCTTTTGTCACACTGCAATCAGCATCGAATGTCAAGTCCAAACACAGTCTAGACCTGGAGTAGAGTGAGGGTCACATGAACGTCCACCTGATCCTAAAAAAAAATTGAGGCTTTTTAGCTGATGCCTGTTTTCCATATAAAATGTGGCTTTGTTTTTTTTTAAATAGTTTTCCTTATTCCCTAAAGCAAAAGAGGCTAATATTCATTTAAAACCCAATAACAATTAAAACCCCCAATAACAATTAAAACCTACAATGAACAACTGCTCTAGCTTTGTTTATTGCATGCATAAATAATCATACTTCAATGAACACGTTAGCGTCGATGATCTCTTCCCAGATTAAGGTTGCCTCGAGACTGCTTGCTTTGGCTACTGTAAATGTGACATGAATTACGCTCAGGAAAATGTGTCTAACATGCTGGGTTGAAGTAAATTATTTTCTTCTAATATACCTACACAACTGTCACAAGGAATTACACTGCAGATTTAGTGATGTTAAGTGTCAATTGTAATTTGGTGACAGCCATTTTATTGGCTATGCATACTGCTCTGCTAGGACTGCTTCTCAGTATGGAGGCCACCGTATCATTAAAAACCAGTGATCCTTCACTGATGACATAATTTGACTGGCAGAGAGAGGAGCAGAGAGGGGCTTGCTTCCACCTGCACAGAATCTGCTGTATGTCAGAGATGAATTTGCCTCCAAATTAGAAACAGCACTGCAGATGAGGGGCTGTGATTTTGCTTGAGTTCTTTTGAGGCGTTTTTCTGGAATGGTTACTGAGCAGCTGATAGAAGTCTCCTTTAATATGTCAAACATATATATTATGCAGCCTGTAAACATTTCAAATATTTTTAGCCATAGCTTACAGTAAGTTATCTGTGAAGCTGTTTCAGTTGAACTGAGCCACATGTATTTCTGCACACTCATCCATCCATCCTTTTGTCTATAACTCTGTCTTTGGCATAGGTTCCAGGAATAAAATTTATGGGATAAAACGGTAAGCAAAAGAAAGAAAGAAAAAGAGCTCGACAAAAAACAACCAAGGTCTAATATGAGCCCAGTGTTTTGGCAGGCGGGATAAATCATTGGAGCTGTGTAAAAATTTACAGTAAGAACAGAACTATAATCATACATTCTGAAAATTTTATAAACTGACAATTCAAGTTATGTGTTTTATGCTAATATACATTGTGGTAGGGTCTAATAAACTGTGACTCACTCATAAATAGTAGAAAAGCTGACGGCACTCACAGGCAAGCACGTACACAGACTCACACACATTCCGTACTTATGCAGGAAACAGGAAATAGAGTCCAAGACTTTCTTAGCAAATTTAAATCAATATAACTGCATTCCATTTTCAGTATTTAAATTAAATTTTTTGCTGCAAGGCACTGTAAGGAACAAAGCAAAGTACCTTAAAAGAAAGTGTATCGCTCGTAATTTTACCTCATTTCACACCTATTTGACAGCTTCTCTTAGCCAATTGGTTTCATCGAAAATGCTGACAATATTCACCTATTAGAGTCCTGCCCTTCTGTGTGGAGCCCATTCCTCTTAGATACACTTTATTAGCTTTCAACTTGGAAAAAAGAAAAAAAAAAACCTTCTTTCCTCCTCACACTACTGACAGTTGCCACTATTTTCCCCTTCTCTTAACACAGCATTATTTATTTATTTATCAAAAAAAAAAAAAAAAGAAGAAGAAGAAACTTTCCTGAACAATAAATAGCATAAATTATTCAGCCAATTTCAGTCCAGGCACATAAATCATACTCAGGCAGACAAGCTACTTATGGCAAATGCTTTGTCTAAGAGAAATATACCACTGAAGGTTTAATCAGAAGCGCTAAACATTTCAGACTTGCCCATTTTTATTCTTGGCCAGGAACTCAATTTCTCTATCTACAGAGGCTCTTGAGAATGCTCTTTTTCTTTTTCCCATGAGAATATTGCGACCATTTTTATCCACAGTAGGGAGG